ACTAGCAATACTAGTTTCATCTACATGTAAGGTACGTCTACCCTCATGTTCAAGGCCATGCGCCGTGTTCTGACCCTCAGATCGGTCGTCGGGCAGGCCATCTTCGGGATTGCCATCCGGCCATTCCCCTGGCATCGAGTCATAACTCGTGTCATACGCTTGACCAGCTTGGTCATCACGTTCAGCTGTATAGAGAGAGAACTCCACAGCATCTTCGTACTCCAATGAAGCGGAAGTACGTCCACCACTCCCACGAAGGTGAGAGGGTATTGGCATAACCCCGGCGTCGCTGGCAGCACGATGTCGTGGCAGGGCAGTGCGAATACTCAGGCTCGCGGAGCGATCCTCGAGCATAGCCAGGTTTCTTCTGGAAGAGTCAGTATCCCTGGAGCTAGTCAAAGGGGACTCATCATGTTCAGTCTGCTGCACCTGAGCAGCGACATTAGGGGCCGGAGGCACTGGGGTCGTCAAGGGACCCCGGCTACGTAGCTGATAACGAGACATTAATGTCTAGTGGTTCGAGAGAGAAAAGAAGAAAGCAGAAGGTCGAGTGCAGAAAGAGGTAGTAAACGAAGCAGAGTCTGTAGGGTGACGGGGCGAAGCCAAGAGAGAACCGGGTGATCAGTCCAGCGCTTTCCTGGGGTTAGGCCCGTCGATTCAGGAGTCGATTAAGCGAGGTTTCTTGTTCTGAGGTCAAAAATATGTGACGTTAGCGATGATAGTCAGTAGCGGCACACAAGGACGAATCAAGGACCGGGTTGAAGACACCTCGATTCGGGGGGATAAGGTAAGAAAGACTGGCGTAATTCTAGGCACGACCAAGTATTTATACGTAGATAAGAGTGGAGTGCATAGATAAGCATAGTTCAAATAAAGTCCGGGTTTATGTTACGAAAAAGGAAGTAGAACGGGCCCGTCCGTTACAGTGCCCTTTGCTGGAAGTCGGTGGTGTTTTGGTCTTTGAAGTCGAGCCTGCTTACTTCCGCTGTCCATGAATGTCGTTTCAATAGTAAGCTACATCACCAAATGCGACCTGAATTATATTTGGGAGATTGTCGAAGCTAACAATTTTCTGAGTGTCCCAAAGGTATATAAACACGTCAATTGCTGTTCCCTAAGCAAGAAGTAGTGAGCTACCCGATGTGGGTTTGCGAGGTCGACAAGGAGAGTGGGTTCTGTTTCTGGGAGGTAACAGCAAATGACATCAAGGTGTTACGATCGAAAACAACATACTTTCGCGGGGTAAACTTGTATATACGCGTGGAAGGTCAGTGGCTCGCACAATCTCTGAGTTTGACAACATAAAATTTCTGGTGCCCATTTTGGTAGGAAGAAACCTGCAATTCACCTATTAACCTAATAATACAATAACAAAAACATGGAATAAATAGATGCTATTGATTAAATTAAGTTGTAATGACATTGAGACTCCCATCATTCTTCCCCGTCTGCATCTCGATGAAATCCTTCAACGATTCATCCTCCTGATGGCCAAAGCCATCGTGACGCACGCCGTTGATCATCTTGGGATTGATAGAAAAGGCGCCCTTCGGAATGAAGGTGGCTATCATGATGATACAACAGCATATACTATACTGTATCCTGATGGAAGACGAGTCAACACTGGGGATCAGTGTTGAGGAGGAAGGACCTACCCCGCGACCCACCGCAGAGAATCCTTGATATTTCCGGTTTCAGAAAAGTCCTTGTCGATGACATCTCCCAAGACCGAACTTAAAACGGCATAAAGAATGATGTATGTCGAATACAAGAATGCCTGTCAAAATGTTGTGAGTGGAAACGTGGGCTTGTTCAATGAGAAGACTTACCATGACGGCCCCTAGATGAGATACACCCGGATACCTGTCCGCCAAAGCTGAAAAATACAGGATGAGTAAATGGAAAGACAGATAGAAAGAAAGACTCACATGCATCGCCCGTGGAGAGCGCAGCCTGAATATAAGCAGATAATGATACATCACCCGCAGCCCAGCTCTACATATTCATGATCAACGCGTATAGGGCCGAAGGCGAAGACATACACACCATGGATATAGGAATGAATATCCCAGCTAATCGCCATGCCCAGTCTACAGTGTGCCCAGTAATGGTGGTCAAATGAGGTAGCACCCAGACGATGTTGAGCTGGACAAGAGATGAGCGAACTGTACTGATAAGCTAAACGGTATATATTACCATGAGAGCATCGAGACGAAGCCATGGTATCTGTATGGGATGAGATCAAAGACTGAAGCTCCGGAGTAGCGCCTCGCAACGTACTGGTGTGGTTACTACATCCGAAAGCAGAAAGACCGTAAGGGCTCCGAGCAGCTGCACAGCAATGAGAATCTACAAAGACAAGCGAAGATGAGCAGGACGCACTTCTCCAAAATTCGAGCCTCCAACGATGATTTGACTCCAGGCGCTGACTCCCAGGGCACGTTTCGCAAAGGCAGGAGCAAGGGTGTTCTCAAGAAACCTATCAAATAATACTATTAGATAGATCAATCATTGAGAGGAGAGACTGGTCCATATACCGATGAAGATATAAAGCCAGTGCGCTTCATAAGAGAGGCACAGTCAGCTAGTCGCTTGAGTCGTGCCCGTAAATCGAACGCTCACTATCCAGGAACCAACCCTATAAACACGCGTTAATGGTTCGCTCGGCTATCAATACACAGGGCGACTCACATACAAACCTCCTGTTACCAAGCACCATCATAGTCCCGACCCATATGGATTCTCCAAATCCAGAGATCCCGCGACCGACCTGAATTAGATAGTTCTTGCTTCGTTTCGACCGATCCACTTCATCAAGTCCATATTCTTCACAGGGCGAGTAGTTGAGCACGGAAACGAAGAACCATACAGCACCCGCCAAGGCGAAGAACACTACCGAAAGAAGACGAGTGAGTAAGTGGCACGAGAACGTGGGTTCATCGCGGCATACCAGGGCTCAAAAAGAAGCTATAGTTATTTCCAAACCGACTGATGGCAGAAGATGATGCAAAAGCCGCAGCGGTACCGGTAACTTCGTAGAAGATATGCTACCAAAGCAGGTGAGAAATACGCTCAGGGAGACGGATCAGAAAAATACTCACTACCGTCGCATCCATCCGTCGCAGCTTCCCCACATTGCCTCCGACGATATCGCAGGGGCTAGAAGAAAGAATACTGCGTTAGATTTACGGAAAGTCCAACAGAGGGGAATATCCGCACATGACCCGACGTATCAGTTCCACCATCCCATACGCGACCCCGCTGAGCGTCCATATTATGAATATCTGCAATAGACGTGCTCGAAACCAAGCTCAAAACTAGGAAAGGAATGCACGAACAGCATTCGGGTTCCAGCTCCCGTAATGTGTTGGACTATTAGCGGACTCACGCATTTTCCCACCTAGAAGACAATGTCAGAATGTTGGATACTAGCCCTATCAGTTCGGGTATCACCGGTAGCGGCATCCACAACTAGCAGAATCATTGTCATAAGACTGAAGAACAGGACTGAGACACCAAGAACAGTTCTCGTTGGAAACCGCACAATGAGGGGTGCGATGAGGATAGCGCCGACACACTGAGCTGCTTGGTTCACGCCTTGGGCAGCGCCGACTACCATCCGACAAATGAGATGACAGAAACAGATATGTAGTAAGGAAACGCACGCTTAGTGAACGTATTTGCCTTAGCAAACCTATCCGTAGCCAACGTCGTTATTGAACCATTGAAGAACTCAAGCCCCAGCTTATAAAACATGATCCCGCCAACATAGAAGGCTCTGAAGGAGTGCTCAGAGACACAAGCGAGCCAAGTTTTGAACGATAATCGCGTACATGTTCCGTCGCTCCTCGTGTGTATAGGCTGCAGAGCGAGATAGGTTATATTTCGTAATATATAAAAGAGACAACCCACAGCGCCATATCTCAACAAAACTCCTCATAGAGGTCGAGGAAAGCAATGTGTTATACTAGCCTGAAAGACTAGACATGCATACAACGCGGGAGAAGATACAAATACTGGTCTAAGCGCTTTTTCAAATCCACGAGTTCCGTCAGAGCACGTTTGTTTGGGGATTCCTTCATGGTATGGCATCCTTAAGGCCCAAAGTCTGGAACAAGGTCGGTGCTTAAGTAAACGACGGTGATATCAAACAACACCAACCCAGACAACGAATCTGAATTCATTCCGCTGGGCTTGTCGAGGAACGTGCTTCTGGATTTTAAATTGATGCCACGAGGGTTGTGGCCCTGAGACCGGTTGCATATGGAGACATCTCTCCGCGTCGGCATGCCGGTCGGTGATAATGACGACAGATGAATGGGAGATTCCTTACTTTGCAGTTGGTCTGTACAATCGGTTAGGCGCGAAGATGAACGATAAATCATCCTATTGTACGGGACGAAAGGCTGTGCATGGTTCTATCCGTGGTAAGACATGGGTTTTTCTCCATGCTACAGCCATAAATCAGAACATCGCACACGATTAAAGCGAAGCGAGCGCACTGTCAATACGCCTAGCTCATAAGAAGTATCTGATGGTCAAGAAAGGAAACCTGCGATCAATGGCGAAGGAGTGACAAGAAGAACCATTCCCGGGAGCCCACGATGCCCCCACAGAATAAGAAACTTCAAGCGCTGCTCGTGCTTTGAAGGCAGAATTTTTACGAGAAACGTGCCTTCCAACACCCTTCCTTGCACCAACCCACAGCAAGATCTGGCATCACGGCTGCTCCATGGCGATGTGAGAATGGTATGGTTGAGGAGAGTTACGGGCATGCCAGGAGGTAAATGTAGGGCGGCAGAATCCAGGTTTCCATGACTGGTTTCCCGTTGTCAGCGACCTAGATACCGTCGGATTACGAATCTCTGGAGGACCACCGGAGCCCACCAAGGTAAAGAAAAAAAGTGAACGTTGGCGCTCGTTTTGTTCAATACAGGAAGGATGGAGGAGCAAATAGGTGCGTATGAAGGCAACAAAGGTCGTCCAGTAAGCACCATGAGTGTCGTCGACCGGAAGCGTTTCATTTCTGGATGTGTCCAAGGAGTCATTTTTAGCTCTTCGTTTGGGTTCATAATCTATGGCACCAGTTTAACCGCAGACTGACGCCCGAAAACTAGACTTTTATACGTGCGTCAGTCTCCGATGTCTGTGCTGATAGCAAAGATCAACCACGGCTGCAGCACATGATACATTTGCTTTCACGCCCAGGTCCTTGCTACTTGTCCAGTTAGCCATCCTATTGGGTCTTTTATGATGAACGAGACATACCATTGCGAGACCTGGTTGGCGATTTCGATAGTGGATAGGGAGCCGTTGTATCCGACCATACGGGAGGTATCAACAGGAGCGACTGCGAGGAGGGTGACCTTGGTAGGACCGATTTCTTAACAACACTCGACAAGGTCAGAAGAGTCAAGACGGCGTTTTCCGGTTCTGGAGTTGCATTTGGTGAGGTAAAGGAAAGTGTTGCAGCTTTGACGATGAAGAAGAAAAGTCGCATGGTTAAGATAGCGTCGCAGATGGAGATCCTGAATAAATTTCTCAACCTAGTACAAGCCATGGAATTAGCAGATATTAGTGTTACGGTGTGGCACCAACCTGGCCCCAAACATCCCCCTCCAATCGTGGGTCTTATGTTCATTTGCTCGAAGAATCTGAAGTTAGTTTGATGCAACGTGTCTACGCGTTGATACGTGACTGCTTGAGGAAAGGGTCATTGTCGCAGGAAATTGCGAATGCATTGAACGAACTGTCGATGAGTTGCTAGGCGTTAACCGGGATCTCTTGAATGGACGGCTTCCGTAGTTTAAATGTTCAGCATCGTCAAATTCGTCGGGATCCTCATCGGATGTTTGATGTTTGGTCCTTGCTACGGAGCTGCGAGGGGTGGTTCCGGTGAGAATCGTAGTAACAGAAGAAGCATTTATGGCTGAACACGGATTCTAATAAGAAAGAAATATGGTGACGGTGATGATGGAGGTGGTACCGGCACAACATCCGTCGCGATCATGAAGCCAAGCGGCAACGCGTCGGGTACGAAGATCAACAACAAACAACAAAGCGTCTCTATCACTTGCTTCGACGACCTGTTCCCCTCCTCAATAATATCCGGACTTGCCTACTCTACTAAGATAATCAGCTCTTATCTTTTGTAGGCCGTCTCTGCCATCGCAGCTTTTCGGCCAACAAACACAGAAGAGCCTCAGCTGCTCAAATTTCTGGGGAGGCGCAATGTTAGGTGGAGCTAGAATACGTAACCAATGTACGACGGAAATCGAGTGGAAAGATATTCCACGGTGAGTGATGCCCTTTCGAGCTCCTTGCCAACGCTTAGAACTGTTCGACAGCGGGGTTCTGGGGACGTCAAATACCATCTGTGTTTTGTAGATACCCACTATCGAATCAAGTCCGTTTCCTTCCGTGTCAAACACGATAAGGTACGTTTCGTTTACTCAAAAACTGGACTATCTCTGATGATACAGACCAATAAGATGTTAGGCCGGCGCTCTCTCCAAGTAGATACCAGGGCGCAACTTGGCCTCTTTTCATCTCGAGCCTTCTGGTTGATTTGTACTTAATTCTGCCATGAAGTGGATGCTAGCTGCCACTGTTGCATTGGAAGGAAGCTGGACTTGGTCTGCATCAGGCTCTGGTGCGTTCTTCACTCTCTGTAAGCGTTCTCTGACAAGCCATTTGTACAGAGCATGCGATATATTGTATGCCTGTGAGACCCTACACTGATTTCGGTGAAAGCGATGTCGTGCTACATTTGATATGATGAGATGTGGTATGTTTAAAGTTTGTTTATTCACGCATTTGAAAGCTGTCCATTCATGCTTTTTTAAAAGTCACACCTCTATCTTGCGGATAGCGCTCGGCACCAAGTGTACAACCAAATGATGCCTAGTCTCGTAGAATGTTGTTCTTCAAATAAAAGAACCCTCAACATATGCCATCCTGCAAAAGCTATGGTGTCACTAGGATCCTTGCTGGAACTCCTGCTGGTGTTTTTTTCGTGCTACTCAACAGACTATCATTCAGCTCTCCCTATACCACACAGCGGCATCTCCAAGCAACGGATCTAGTATGGCGCTTGCGCTGCTCGTCGATAGATCTGAATCGACAGTACGAGAGGCGACTTCAGCAAGGTGGGGCCCAAACGACGGCCTGGGTGACCCCCGCCGTAGGAGATACCATATTGCTTCGACAACAGCGATCTTTAATCTCCTCCTGTGACCAGCCTAAAGCAAATAAATGGCCTTCGCAGAGATCAGATATATTTGATCAACCAGAGAATGATACAAGCCTCTTCACCGTCGACGGCGACGACCAAACGACAACGCAGCTACCCCTCAGCATTGCGTCCGTTTACTCACACCCTTAATTGCCTGGTCCTGGTACTTCTCAGTATCGCGCGGGAACAACATGGAAATCACTGTGTATCATATATAGTGCCGCAGATTCTCCTTCCGAAGCGCCTTATCCTTGCAGGACAGAATATCCTCCGTTCATCATTATGTCGCTGCTGCTACCGTGCCGCCTTTTGGTCCCTAAATGATCTCCAACAGTTGAAGAGGCGGCGTAAGAGCGCGTGTTTATAGTCCGTAACTAACTGATTAATTCTTGACGCAGTAAATGAGAGCCCGCGAGCCCAGGAGCAACGACTCCCGTCCTTCAGGTGCCGACTATGTCAGCGTACACTTCACCGTGAAGAAATACTGTTACACCTGCAAAGGCGTCGTTATGATTCTGAATTCTTTGAGAAGTACGGGAGAGTTCCATAGGCTCTTCATGCACTGGTCGTTGGTTCGCGTTCTAGCTTGTCGCTGCCTCTTTTTCCTTTCCTTCGTTTCATCTACAGACACCGGTAGTGGCTGGAAAACATATGGACATGGAACATTGGTACCAGGATTACCAACATTTTTTATTTTCTCAGGACGCTTCGTTCAAGACCTCGCGTCGAATGTTCGAGTTCTTAATAACATATATGTTCCTTATCCAGCCATATTGATTTCTCGATCTGTCTACTTGTCCAACAAATGAATACAATATCGCCGATACGTTCAAATCATTCCTGAGCACTTGTAGAAGATTCCCTTAGAGGCCAACATTGATGGGGGTGCAGCCCAGAGCAACAATGCCATTCTGTTCGTGGATAAGTATGCATACAATCATTTCCGAGGTCGAATTACTCACGTAGCTGTTGTCTGTACAGCAGACAGGTTGGTTGGAGCAGTCGGTGCCACCAACGCCAATGACAGTGATGGGGTCGCAGGTAAGACCGCTGCGATGAACGTACTCAGCAAAACAAAAGACACGATTTAGTACGTGAAAACCTACACATTACCGGTGACACTGCCGACGGCGATCCCGAGGAGGCCCAAAAGGGTCTGAACAATGCTGGAGGAGGACTATAACAATCGTTCGTTCAGCTCTCAAGCATGATCGTATAGATGAGGAGCGCAGGCCAACTCACACTCTGGACAGAATTGCAGCACTGCGCGGTACCGGAAGCGCAAGTGTCTTGCCGGGGAAGGACGGTGGCGGTCGCAAGGAGAGGCAAAGCCAGGAGAGTAAAAGCGGAGAGACGAGCAAACATTATGAAACTGAGGTTAAGCTGTACAACTGTGAGGGCTGTTCGACTTGGTCATACCCGGCAAACTCACATCTCTTTTATAGATTTTCGTCCTCTCTGTTATCCCCGTGTACAATAGTCATCTGGTCGAATAATAATGGTACGTCCCGACTGGTATTGCATGCGTTTGACGCGTGAGGAATACTGAGACAGGATTCATGATGTGGCGCTGGGTGGAAGCGAGTATCAGTCAGTACTGTACCTTTTCACGGTACTTGGCTACTGTATTGTGGCCAGGCATTGATATGAATCGCATCCCAGATAGGTTTTCTAAGAAATGGTGTAATCGAATGAACCAGCGCCGCGCCCTCATTTGGATACATACAAAATCTCTCCCCTGTTGCCCTGAACACCATGACGGAACCGCTGGTCGCATACACTCATTCATTTTCGTTTTGATGATATATCTTGACCAGCTCGCCTTTCGAAGCTCATCAGAGTAAAAGAAAGGTGTCGGCGAACAAACTCACGTACCCTGATCTGCTCAAGCCACATCTATCCACTTGAATTAATGTAACGTAAAAAAGGGTCGATTTTCCCCTGACAGCCTAGATTTCCGACTCATGAGATTCATGAACAGCAACACGGGAAAGATCCATATGCGAAACTTATCACCTGGTATCAGATGCCCTTCTGGCCTAGTCGCAAGCTGCATTTTCTTGATGAGCGTTGACACATGAAAAGAGTTATGCTACTTTACCTAACGAATGCAGAACACAATGAACTCCTTCAAGAATCGAGCGGAAGGGTTCGTAGCACTTAGGCTGACAGGATACATCGCCATACATTTGGTGTTACGCGCGAAAACGATCGAGATGGTGAAGTGCTTTCCGATCCTTTTTGGCTAGATCGAAGCATCCGCCGAGCTGGACTCTAAAATGGATGGTATGAGAAGGCTCACTGTGGAGATATGGCAATATTCAGTCTCTGTAGAAAGGGAACGTGATCAAATGGAAAGATATAATCACCCGGAGCAGGCAGCTCCACCTGTCAAATACCCGAAACGCTACCACGGGACAGACTCAGGTTCAAGCTCTGTACAGGAACAAAAGAAAATGTCAATGGTTGTATGGGCATGTGTAGCGTTCGGCAAGGAGCTACAGATATATCTTAAAATAAAATGGCATTCAAGCGAACCTGGTATTGGCGATGATTTCACAACTTTGTCTTAGTATAGTTAGAAATGGAACTGACATTTGTCGCGGCAAGAATGACATCTGGCACTGCACGAGCGTGGGCACCTGAGGGTAGAACCATTGACCAGAATGAAATAAAAGAATCCCAACGTTACCTGTATCCACTGTTGCGTCTCGGAAAAACACATTTCAGGATGAAGAAAGGAGCAAAAGAGATCAATTGATAGAAATGCATACAACATGGACAATTTCCCACGAGAAACGGCGTGGCGAGCATACCAATCTTTCCCCGAAAATATTTGCCTGTACATTCCCTTCGGTGATCCATCTAGAAAACACATAAACATACGGTAGAAAGACAGAAGGGAAATGAAGAGACTTGCCTCACTTTCTGGGGCCTTCTTCACTCGTACGTCCCCCAGAATCATGTAAGCCCGACGAACCCCCTCTACCAGCAGTAAAGACAGTTAAAAGGTCCTCTTGAGCGATCTAAATACCTTCTAGCCAGAACCCTGGTGTTGCTCGTCAGAACGAAGTGACGACCAAGATACCAACGAATACGCACAGTAAAGCGGCTCCGATGGACATCAAATGTCTATTCCCGGCAGCTTGTGTGGAAAAGCTGTATATTTTGGCAGATATCATCAGCCTCGTTTCAGTGTTCATACCGCAAGCCTGTTCTATAAATTAGTAATTCCGTCTTGAAACAATGGTACGAGGTACAAGAAAATGGACCTGGAACTGTACAATCCTATGGGCGTGCAGAAGAGATCCCCTCTGCAATCCAGAGGAAAGAGTCACGTACAGCAGACAGCGCCGTGCGGTGTTGCAGGACATCGAGATAGCGAAAGAAGACACAGTCGCTCTGTATCCTTAAATTATTTGGTGAGTATTTTGATGGCCAGGTCCAAATCGGTTGACCTAAGACTGCTCATCGATGAGAACTGCAGTCATCGGTTAGATGACGGAGAGAGCGAGCACATTGATTAAAGTTAACTAAATGCACAACAGAGCCGTGTTGAAAAGGGATCAATGCCCGTCATCGTTGGGGCGGCATGGCATCTCCTACCAGGAGAGAAAACTCTCAGGCCATCGTTTGAGCCCATCGTGCTGAAGCCCGCTTCTTGTACCGCCGACGCAGATATATTGACGAGCATTGCAAGCACTGTATCAAATACGCTCCTTGAAGGTGTCGTTGTGAGGCTGAAGAATTTTCTGCTGAGTAGCACGGAAAAACGTTAGCAGAAATTCAAGCAAGGAATATAATGACACACCACAGTTTCCAATGATATAAAAGGATTGCATATATCGAGGGCTATTCCTTTATTTAATTCGAAGAATGGAGATTGGGCATCAGCTGGATTCGATAGCGGGGGTCTACGAAGTGTAGATGGGATCTGACAAACCCAGGACTTAGCTGTCGAACGGTCGTAAACGTTGGAGTTAGCAATGAGCGCTTGATCTCGAAGAAAATGATGTTACTCACCGTGTAATATTTTTTCGTTTGTTTCCAACCATATATCGGTTATGTATTCTCGCTGCGTTGGACCTCCACAGAAATTTGAGTTCGAAGAGCGAGTCTCGCTTTGCTGCTCGAAAAGCCGCGATAGTAGAGATGGCCCACAGGCATTGTCAAAGAGATAATAGCTGTTGGATCTCTTTGTATAGCAGATTGAGGAGGAGACGCGTCGTTGTCGTTATTGTAAGTGGTAGAAATGTTTATTTTTGCGCCATTAACTGTTGGTTGTTGCGAACGTGGTCCGGGGTTCCGGGCTTGTTCATGACCAGCCTGGTCAGTGGTAAACGCCGCCGATATGAAGAGAAACTCGTTCCTGTACTTTCCACTAAGCTAATATTTCATTCAATGGTAAGACAACCTAATGTGTTTTATTTCCAGCCTGAGGTCTTTGAAAGTATAGTGAGCTATTGGTCTATTACTTTCCTTCCAAGCTATTCTGAAAATGGCTTCTATAGCAATCCGGAGCCCCCTTATTGTGCGTAATTGTTGGTATCTTGGTCGTCACTTCGTTTTGACAAGCAACACCATGCTTCTCGCTATTTAAACCGTTCTAGAGAGGACATCTTACTGTGCTTTTCTGCTGGTGCCGGGGGGTTGTCGGACTTGGCATGACTCTGGGGATCGTACGAGCAAAGAGGTCCCTGAGAAAGAGGCATGTATCCTCTTTCCCCTTCCGTTTTTCTAAGACCGTATTGTTGATGTATTTCCTAGATGGATAATTGTAGGGAATGTACTCACAAATAGTTTCGAGGAAAGTTGAATATGCCCGCCAATTGGACGGGCTTCTTTTTGCGTGATTGCCAATTTTTGTGGGCAATTTTTCGTGTGTATTTCTATCAATTGATCTCTTATGCCTTCTTCCTCGTCCTTACTGAAATGTGTATTCCAGAGACGCGCAAAATCAGTGATCACGGGTTAGCATTAAGGCAGCTATGTATACGAGACTCTTTTATTTCTTTCTCTTGGGTTCTACCCTCAGCTACTCTCCCTCAAGCAGTTCCAGGCATCATCCCATGCGATAACAAATGTCAATCCCACCCTCTGACCCATCTCCATCCTATCTTTGCCGCAAGTTTGGATATGTGGTATTTTAAGACTTCGTAGCAACTCTCCCATGGAACGTTACACATACCCATTCGTCGTTCGACCAGGAACATTTGCTTTTGTTCCTGTATACACCTGAGGTCCCATGGCGGCGTTTCGGATACTTCGACAGGTGGAGCGGCCTGAGTATTTCTTACCTATCGATCGTGTTCCCTTTCTATAGAGACTGAATAAGTGAGACATTGTCATGTCTTTACGTCGATCTTTCTCATACCACCCTTTCCAGCGTAGGCGCTTCGATCTAGACATTAAGCATCACAAAATACTGAAGAAAGATATTCACAATCTCGATTATTTTCATGCTCAACGGAGAATGTATGGCAATGTATCCTGTCAGCCTAGTGATGCTACTATGACCCCTTCTGCTCGACTCCTGAAGGAGCTCGATATTCTGCATCCGTTAGGTATAGTATCATATATCTTTTCATGTGTCAATACTTCGTCAGAAAATGACAGTAGAACTTACCGGAAAAATCATGAACAATTCACCTCATGACTGGCCTCGTGCTCTAACTTCTATGCCTCTGAATTGCTGTTGTTTGAACTAACCTGTCATTGCAGACAGCGCTCCCAAAACCTCAGAAGAATCGGTCCCCATCAGGCATCCATATGGTAATATTACAACCTGGTTAGCATCCGGCGACAGGTAATGAGTTTCGTCCACGGACGGTGTTCCATCTTTCCCGTGCTGGCGGTCATAGGACCGGACCCAATGCAATGAAGCTGGGGAAAATCCCATGAATGTCCTTTTCTTACGTCAAATTGAATTCCAATGGACAGATGTGGCTTGAGCAGATCAGGGTACGTGAGTTTGTTCGCCGACACCTTTCTTTTACTCTGATGAGCTTCGAAAGGCGAGCTGGTCAAGATATATCATCAAAACGAAAATGAATGAGTGTATGCGACCAGCGGTTCCGTCATGGTGTTCAGGGCAACAGGGGAGAGATTTTGTATGTATCCAAATGAGGGCGCGGCGCTGGTTCATTCGATTACACCATTTCTTAGAAAACCTATCTGGGATGCGATTCATATCAATGCCTGGCCACAATACAGTAGCCAAGTACCGTGAAAAGGTACAGTACTGACTGATACTCGCTTCCACCCAGCGCCACATCATGAATCCTGTCTCAGTATTCCTCACGCGTCAAACGCATGCAATACCAGTCGGGACGTACCATTATTATTCGACCAGATGACTATTGTACACGGGGATAACAGAGAGGACGAAAATCTATAAAAGAGATGTGAGTTTGCCGGGTATGACCAAGTCGAACAGCCCTCACAGTTGTACAGCTTAACCTCAGTTTCATAATGTTTGCTCGTCTCTCCGCTTTTACTCTCCTGGCTTTGCCTCTCCTTGCGACCGCCACCGTCCTTCCCCGGCAAGACACTTGCGCTTCCGGTACCGCGCAGTGCTGCAATTCTGTCCAGAGTGTGAGTTGGCCTGCGCTCCTCATCTATACGATCATGCTTGAGAGCTGAACGAACGATTGTTATAGTCCTCCTCCAGCATTGTTCAGACCCTTTTGGGCCTCCTCGGGATCGCCGTCGGCAGTGTCACCGGTAATGTGTAGGTTTTCACGTACTAAATCGTGTCTTTTGTTTTGCTGAGTACGTTCATCGCAGCGGTCTTACCTGCGACCCCATCACTGTCATTGGCGTTGGTGGCACCGACTGCTCCAACCAACCTGTCTGCTGTACAGACAACAGCTACGTGAGTAATTCGACCTCGGAAATGATTGTATGCATACTTATCCACGAACAGAATGGCATTGTTGCTCTGGGCTGCACCCCCATCAATGTTGGCCTCTAAGGGAATCTTCTACAAGTGCTCAGGAATGATTTGAACGTATCGGCGATATTGTATTCATTTGTTGGACAAGTAGACAGATCGAGAAATCAATATGGCTGGATAAGGAACATATATGTTATTAAGAACTCGAACATTCGACGCGAGGTCTTGAACGAAGCGTCCTGAGAAAATAAAAAATGTTGGTAATCCTGGTACCAATGTTCCATGTCCATATGTTTTCCAGCCACTACCGGTGTCTGTAGATGAAACGAAGGAAAGGAAAAAGAGGCAGCGACAAGCTAGAACGCGAACCAACGACCAGTGCATGAAGAGCCTATGGAACTCTCCCGTACTTCTCAAAGAATTCAGAATCATAACGACGCCTTTGCAGGTGTAACAGTATTTCTTCACGGTGAAGTGTACGCTGACATAGTCGGCACCTGAAGGACGGGAGTCGTTGCCCCTGGACTCGCGGGCTCTCGAATATAATAAACATGCGCACTTCCCCCGTATCTTCACTGTCGCAGACCAGTATCTATCTTTCTGACATCAAGAGGTACCACAATGGTAGTGGAGACATAACGATGAAGGGAAGATATTCTGTCCATGTTAGAAAAAGAATCTCCGAGTCGACAGTATAAGTGACTCACGGCGATTTCCTGTTGCTCTCGCGAGCAGTGGCAGGACTAGATGATAGTAAAAAGGCCAGAAAACTAAGGTTGCGAGTAAATCGACGCGACGATATGGAGCAGCTGCGATGTCATTTGATCATCGTTGTCGATGGTGAATAGGCTTGTTATGTTTTGTTGGTCGCTATCCGGGAGAAAAACAATTCTCTTAAAATGATATCAATATCAAGGTTTTGTTAGCTCTACAATCTTGAAGGCGACCAGACTGAAGAAAGATACCAGCGTTACACTACTCGGGGGCCGTCATTCCAGAGAGAGTTCACCTAATGGCAAGCACATTAGCAACAATACGTTCAGATACGGCTACCACCTGAGTGCTAAATAATCAGTGATGTATGGCATTTTATTTACTTAGTTTCTTTGCCCGACTCCACTCACGAACAAAATACAGAATTAGTTCAAGGCCAAGCTGGGAAGGTCAAGCATCTGCACCGGCGTCGACCCAAAATTGGAGTCGCCAGCATTGAGTCTTGACACGAATGGTGCGTCACCTAGGCCTGGGCGTGTCACCGTTTACGCGACTCCTCACGCGACATGATGACCGTCACATGTTTCTTCATCTTCAATTTGAAACACACACTGCTTGGAGTCTACCACCATGTTCTCTCCTTTTTGCTCTCCTGATGCTCGCATCGAACGATATCAACAGGAATATCCTGGGTAAATCGTTGACTTTAGTTGCCGGACGGAATTCTTGAACTTCGGCCATGATCTTCTCGTAGCCTTGATCTATCTTTTTCGAATGGCCCTTCCTCGGTCTGGGCTGCTGGTATCTCTCATCACTGGTAGGAGTATAGGCAACGCTTCGACCCTACAAAAGGGCGACCTCTGTACGTTCATTTCTTCTCGGTCAATAAGAAGCAAGTACAATGGCATTGCCATCGTTGCTACACCTGGGGCCGGTCCCTTAGCCTTAGATCAATCCGTGCTCATGTAGTAGGGACCGGCCGCAGGTCTAGGACACAGACGCGACTTCGAGACGTCATGGCCAAGTTCTGCCCTGCCTGAACACTGTTCACTTGGGAAAAACTCTCTCGGATGGTAAACTATATCAATATCGACGTGATCAAGGTCCCTTTAGCTACACAATAATGACGACAGGATTCAACAAGGACACTTATCTTACCCTACGCGATAGACATTCCCATTAGAGATCCTTCTTCGACTCTCATTCTCAGTCGACTTTGAATAAGGTCAGTTATACTCTCCTTATGAATTTCAATCTGCAATGAAACATCTGTTCTTCATCATTGATTTCTCGAAATGTTTATTCGTATGATAAATGACTACATCATCGTCAATCGTAAGGATTTCCGGAGTCCCTTAGAGGCCAATGTTGATGGGGGAACAGCCGAGCGCAATAACACCGTTCTGTTCGTGACTGTAAGCGTAATGTTATCCGCTGAATAGAGTTAGTACTAACGAAGGAGTTGTTCTCGCAGCAGACCGTTTGCGCAGAACAGGAATTGCCTCCGACCCCGATGACGCTGATGGGGCTGCAGGTAACACCGCTATGTGAAAATACATCAGCCATCGGCGAGGTCGGTCAAGATATGAATACCTACACATTAGCAGTGACATCGCCAATGGGGATTCCAAGGAGGCCCAAGAGAGTCTGAACGACATTGGAGCTAGGCTACAATAATACATATTAGCTCTCGCGTTCATTTCGACGACTTGCAAGACACTTACGCTCTGAACAGAGTCGCAGCACTGTACGGTACCAGTGGAGCAGGACGTACCACTGCCGCCACGAGGAACAATGGCGGTGGCGGACGCAAGGAGAGGCAAAGCCAAGAGAGCGATAGAAGAAAGACGAGCGAACATTATGAACTAGGTGAAAGCTATACAACTGTGAGGGCTGTTTGGCTTGATGATACTCGGTGATTTGACGCCTCCTTTATAATTTTCCTGGTCCTCTATCTCATTCCCAAGAATAAAAATAGTTTATCCAGACTCGCTCTGCCCAGGACAAGTATAGTGCTAGGCTGATATGAATGACGCGGTTAGAGGATCATTTCTCACTGGCTACATGCGCCGTAATGGTGCAAGGTGCATGATGTGGCGTTCAGCGGAAGCGAATATTCATCGAATATGTCCCTTTTTGCTGTGAGAGCGTTCTAACTTCTCCAATGTGCTTGGCTACGGGTTTGGTGTTCAGCTCTGATGAAAGTCAGACTATTTCCGATGGCCAGATCCTGACTTCTTTCTGCGAATAGACATCCGATCATATGGAAGGAACACTTGCATTTCAATAACAATTCCACTTGGGATCGTTCGCCGCCCTGAGAACGTTGCTCTCCTATCCTTCCTGGTTGGAGCGTTTATTCGTTCATTTAATATCTCAAAAGCAAATAATCCTGTCCTACTTATAGCATCTGTGAATCACTTCTTTGAGGTTCAAAACGTGTCCTGCTAATATTCTAGTACGGGAGATCATCTTATTCTGAAACAAATGTTGCGTAAGAAATTGATGAACCCTGATCTACTTGTCTCTCCAATCAATTCGAAAGTGACGTAAAATTTTGAAAATGCTCGGGAAGGCCCAGGTTTTTTCCCCAGATTGGCCTACCAGCCCGACGAACAAAAGGCGTTTTGAACAGCCAGGCTCCGGCCACGTTTGTGAGAACTTGGAGTCTTCGTGGCTCCGCAGAGGCAGCATGAAATAACTGATGCCAGTATACTTCCGCAAAGAGACCTGGACCAACCATGTATAAAATTATCTCGTCTCCGATGCTAGCTTAGCCGAATTGCAGTCGTAAGTTTTATCCCACACGGCACGGAACAGGCCGTGATACCAATGAATCTGTTTTGATTGTGACCCCTTTCTGATTTCTGAGATGTAAGAATAATCAAGCACTTGTCTATGATGACAAATGACTCCGTCAATAATCAAATTACATCATGAATTAAACCGTATTCACGGGTATCTAGATAAAGCTTTTGGATATAGTTTCGAAGAGTGTGGAGTAGAATGAGGGCGAGAAGGGATCGTTAACAGTATCAAACCTGAACTGACAAAAAAAAAGGCGGGTACATGGGAGTATTTCAAGTTCAAGAGTCAGTGGAATGGGTCACAGTAACATCGCGCCCATGGCCGACAGGATAAATGATGTTCGGAGTTTCGGAGACGCTTAGGACACAAAAGATGAAAATGTTGCTAAAGTGAAGAAGGAATAATAATGCGCTCCATCCCTGAAGATCTATTTTCGGAGAGAGTTTCCGGAAGCATGATGGCAAGGTCCAGACGATTTTTAAGGGGATAAATCAGCGAAAAGCATGATATAACGAATCAAGAAGCCGCTGACATAGTGTTCGTAAATCTTGTCAGTTTTGATAGGAGCTTGGCGCACTCGGGTGGAGGGAAATAATCGCTAATAACGAGTAGCCCCACCTGTCGAAACAACCCGAGTTGTAGAAACATCCCAAGTAGCCCACATGAAATAGGCCAATACTGTTCTGGTCGGGTAGGTCGTACTTAGATAGTGTTTTATACAGAACGCCAAAGATAAATACATTATCCGTGAGTGGCTTGTAAGAATTTTGACCTGTGCTGTCGGATGACTCATCCTCTCACTGATCGAAGAGATTAATTGAACATATAACAGATCCACCAGTAAAGGATGAGAGCAATACCTTATTCTCCGTCAAAGAAGAGTTTCGCACTTAGACGGCCTGAGATTTCGCAGGGCGATAGTCGTTGAGATAGTATGATAATCGTCGTAAAGTGGAACGAGAGAAAAGATTTCACGAAGCCTCTCATGAAGATGATGGTAGTACGCCGCAGTTTTTCTGTTCCTGTTACATAAGAGCTGACGCTACTAGAGCAGACTATAGCAGAATGTGTCGCTCTGTCCGGGACCGACAGCCTCGCTGGCAATGGCTGGCAATTGAACAGGCTTGCTACCTTATACAAAGGCTAGTAAGATACCATTGCAGAGAATTCTTACAGGAGCAGTTACCCTCGGACAACTTTAATCAGCTGTTGAGGCACAAGCTTGAAGTAATTATGGGTGGTCGACGCTTTGCTCACGTTAGCTTTAACATGTGATAAATCAGATTATTCACATACTGTCAAAATTTGAAACGACAGTCGTAACAATCAATTCCGCTGTTCGCGTTCAATTCATCTGTCGGCGCATTGAGTACAGCAGATGGTGGTTGAGGAATATCAGCCCTCAACAGACGCAGGTAACCTTGTGTGATGGCACGCGGTTTACGCCTGGTTTGCGACTAAAATTATCTTCGGTGCCAGATCTTAAAAACACTGACAACGTCGGATTTATATTCCAGACAACAGATAAGTCAGGAGTTCAAAGATTCGATAACGAAGCTTCGAAGAAGAAAAATCTTGCCACTTTGCACCGCGTCCAGCGTTCAAACGTTAGAGAATAACGGCTAGCACAGACAGTCTGGTCGTAGAGAAAATCTGAGGGGTAAGCGGAATTTTTCTTCAATGTCTGTGGTAGCAACGATTGACAAAATTCGGCTCCGAGAAACTAGCATAAGAAAGGAGCGGGTACATATAGTCATGGATGCAGAACGGGCTCTGTACGGCGCATACGGAGAGCGGTATCCAAGCGGTGTATTCTTGCGAACCAATGACGAGTTAGACAGACGCGAAGAAAAAAGACGGATGAGGTCCTACTCCCAAGGCAAAATGCTAGGAAAGACTGGTCAAGCTACGTAGTAAACAAACAGTTAGGAGAGACATGCTGCTTATTTTCGTCGCAAGTAAAAATCACAAGACACATTGTCTAGAGTGTTGTTTTCGACCCGATACCCTCTCACCCTCCTTCCATGACGCTGTCTCTTGATGATGAGGGATGCAGAGCTACTCCCGGCATCAGGTCGATCCGTACGGTCGGACTTCTGGTTCTATGCACCTCTGATCTCCTATCCGGCAATCCTAATGGTAGCAAGGAGAGTGCGAGACATGCCATTGATACCAATGCGACTCCGAGGAAACAATCTGTCACCTCTGAAAGAGAAGGTGATCTTGACAATGAGGATGGCTTCCAGATCTAGAGCATCACAGAATGGCCTTCCAAGTTTGGTCTTGATTGGGTTTGGAATCGCTCGCAGGATCCGGTGCGCCGAGTGCACCGAGATCAGAATTGATCGCGCGGAGACACCGCAAACGCGAGCAAGAAGAGTTCAGTGGGGAAGTAGCTAGTGCTGGGGACTGTGTAACGGGCAGCGGCCGCCGAGGATGGGGAGAGAAATCAGTAAGCGTCTTGCCATTTTAATGGGAGAAGTGAGGAGTACAGAATCATTTCAAGGAAGAAGTTGGAGCCAACGAGTCCCTAGTGCATGTGAGTTATGACCAGCACATGACGGTGAATGCCGTTGTGCCATCGTGGGCTTGAGGAATGGGATTCTGATGAAGGATTGGGATCATAAGCCTTTTCCGAGGAAAGACTAGTGTAACGCAGTACTGGGAACGTTTGAATAAACAATCTTGCGTTAGAAACACGATGTATTGCCTTTGGCGATAGTAACCGTGACTTCTAAGCCAAGACTGACGGGGAAAAGAAAGGTCAGATGATTCATGATTAATGAGACTGGATAATGATCTACGAAAAAGTGGCTCACTACGATCCTCTTAGCGTGACGTTCAATTTACGTCTATGTCAAAGACGGAAAGCCGTAGGATTCGGAGCCATGTCAAAGACACAGTAAGTGATGTTAGTTGAGGAGAATCTTCGAGAACCAAACTTCGGAGCCGGGCCGTAGCGCCGAGCCCACTAACATTAGTCACCGGTGGTACGGTCGCAATCAAAATATTCCATCTCATGATGTAGTCGTACCAGCCCAGCCAGATAATGCCAGCGAATCATTATCACAACTTGTACCGCGTTTTTAGATGGTGAGTCCATTTTGTCAAAAACTTCCTTACTCTGCTGCTCGCTTGAAGATTAAGAATGATTAGGTACAATGGGGCATGAAAACTGCCCTCAGTCTGATTGCAGCATGTGAACGGCTATGTAGTGATACAAGGGAGAGGTCGGAGGGTGACAAAAAAGCTTGGTAGTGACTTGTACAATAAGAACACAGTAATACTGGATGAAAATTGGTTAGATGTGATGAGGCCGGAAACTGTATGGATGAGCTTTCTTAAGATGGGAATGGAGGCAGAGCCTCACCAGGCAATAAGGATTGCTGACAACAGATAGAGGAGGCAGAATTAGTAGTTAGGGATTGAATGACAGTGAGAAAGCAAAGCTCATCTCACCTGGGGGTGCAGGATGAAGGTGACAATGAAGCTGAGACACTGATGCTGATGTCTCTCATGAATCAGCCTCAGCCTCAGATCAGCACTGAGACAGAGACAGCACTGGTGGTCCATCTTTGTGGACAGAGCAGAGCTCTGTGTTGACAGAAATTGTAAATGTTTTGAGGTCCACACAGAGGTCTATGAAAAACTCCCTACCCCTGGAATCTGCCTTTACGATGAACATTTCCTTTAAGTGCTCTCCAGCTCACACAGCCATTGCAGCCCCTGAGCCCCTCGTATTTACATCACTTCGATCTCAGGAATTAACTCTTCATTTTACACTCCCAAGTGCTGCATAATCCAAAATGAGTCGTTATATGTAGGCTCTTCTTCATCTTTGACCGCCTTTATCTTATTCTCGTTAGATATCATCCTCCATATGAATGTTCCTCTCGTTTTCGTCCGCCACCGTTTCGTCCAGGAACGGTAACTGTGCTGTCGCTTTCCTCGCTCAATTTCCAACTGATTACCCCGTTTTCAAGGCTTCCCTAGCTGCACCTACCGATAGGCCTGCTTCGATCCATCGCGTCTCTGAAGATATCCTAAAAGAAATCTTTACTAGCTTGATTAACAGCCTGATTCTTGCTGTGGACGACTATCATGGTGACCACTTTCCGTACAGCATGCTCACTATCTCTCATGTGTGTGTCCATTGGAGAGACGTAGCATATTCCCTCGCTTCCTTGTGGTGTTTTATCTTTATTCCATTTCGATACTTGATAAAAAGAGACGAGGACTACCAAGAAACCCGGGAGGTTGAAGTATCGATTCCCGCAGCGCTTATCGAGTTTTCTCTTCGGCGTGCAAAGGAGGGCCCATTGTCTGTTTTCCTGTTCCGGATGCACGATGACATGCTGAAGACAGGACAACCTAGAAAAAATCACACGTTTGCTGTCATGTCATCACTCCGTTCTACGGCGCCTCGCTGGCGCGAACTCTACATATCTATCATTCCCTCTGGATTCAAAGATTTTTACAAGATCTTCCAAGGACTAAAAAACCTTTCATCTCCCGAACGACTAACCTGCGTAAAGCCCTTCGACGTATGGGAATTTCGTGCATTCCTCACCGCCGTGAACCTTCGCTGGTTAGATCTCGGAGAATACGTCCGTCCAAAGCAACCTGTTTCGTTCCCTCACACCAAATCCTCCACCTCATTCTTCGAACGTTCGATCTTGAGTACACGGCCGTATTCCCCAATGTCATCGATGTGACCATGTACGGCACTCCCCCACTGGACCTCCTTTTACCAATCTCCATGTCAGAATCCAACCTTGTCTCATTAACCATCTGCCTCAACTACATCACCCAAGAACATCTTCCCCTCTACCGGCGTGGCGTCTCTCTCCCCTGACTCCGGGATCTGACCATCATCTACGTCGGACCCATCATGAACCCATTCAAAGCGGAATACCTCACTCAAGACTTAATCGCGGAATTCTCCCACAGGATCGAGCGTCTCATTCTCGGGGGGGTTCCTATGTACGTAAAAGACCTCATAGCGATCTTGGAACCTCTCAGAGAGCTCCGACACCTGGGTGTCCATGACCCTCTCCTGCCTGTGCACCGACCGTACTGCCCTATCTCGAGAGAACTGATCTGGCGCCTCGCTACGGACTCATCGTTCCTCCCTTATGTGGACTCGCTCGACCTCATGTGGCAATGGAATGATGTTGGTAAGAGTATGGTCAAGGATATGCTGCTGACTAGGACAGGTCAAACACAGTTTGCAAACCCATACGTCCCGCCATCGTACTTGCATGGTCTCATAGGACAGATGAAGCGCAGGGTGGTCTAATGGGTTCTGGGTTCGAGACCATCTTCTCAGTGATATATTACGATATGCAGAATGTACACTGTCTGAACATGTTCCCTTTTCAGAATCTGGTTTGCAGATGTTACTGACGAACGAGTTGGCCGAGGCAAACCTGTCATATACTGTAATAACCAGAATACAGGTTAAATATCGACTCTTGATCCAAGCATGAACGACGTCATAGAGGCCGCATACAACGCTGCCATTCTCATCCTGTGTCCCACCCTGGGCCTTCAGCACCACAATTTAGCGTCTAGGCGCACACGAAAAGCAATTATCATCTTCTATCATCTTTAACTCATTCTGTAAGACATCGGACCACGGTTTCTGCAAAAAAAAAAAAACGATTCTCGAACCTTATACCATCTGCCGAAAGCTTATCCGCTTCGCAAAAACATTAGACGGAACATCCATGTGTGCCATGCCTCTTCTTTGACATTAAGATCTTCTAGTTCTTCAGAAATTAGGCATTTTTACGCCGCCACAGCGCATGGTATTCAATCATAAATGACATCTATCGAAGCGTCATCAGACATAAAATCCGTCTAGTAGCTTGCAAACACTTGCCTTCTCACCTCCAACAATATGCTCACTGCCCTGCGCTCTCTCCTCCTTCTGACCATTATGGCATTCACAGTAGCGGTGACCCCTACACAGCGGTGCTCCGGCTACAACCAACTCGTCCAATGTTGCGAGAGCGTCGCCAACGCCAACAATGCTGCTTTGAACGTCGACGCAGGACCGCTCGACCCCTCCAAACTGGTCGGGTTTAGCTGTAGCTTGCCAAGAATTGTTATCGCCCAGGCGGCCGTGAGTTGGTACGTCGTTCTTCTGCGCGTCGTCGAGGCTCGAGTACTGAACGCAATGTATATTAGTTCGAGCCCCACTGCTACGGAGCTATGCTGCAGTACCAACATCTTCGCTGCGAACGACGGTAAGCACGGATGCTCTCTGAGGTATGGTATGATGAACCTTACGGACGAGCTACAGGAACCTTCACCGCAGTGAACTGCACAATGGCCGCAACCTGATCCTGAGGTGGGTTCGGAGGTCTGGTACCTCGGCCTGTCATCCTCCAGAGAAGAGTGTCCTTGATAGCGAGTTCCTAAGTGAGCGCAAGAGGTCATGATGAGATGAAGGTGTCAGCAGATTATTGATATAGAATAGCGCTTACTGGACAAAACTTGCGCTCACTTGACGTTGTCTGAATTAAGCACCCTTTGCTGAAACGAGACGATGCATCGGTATTGCAGCACATTGTGAGGCGACCCGAAGCCTGAGCTCTTCTGGAAGTCGAACAAAACCTGGGAAGCGAAGGAAAGGGCGAATCTTGGCAGCCGAGAATTCAGCCAATACTAGTGCGACCATCGCTCCACTATTGGAAAAGTTAGAGGGAAATAAATATCGAAATAGAAGGAGCATGCGCACGATAGCCCTTCCATTCTATGAGTGTTGAGCTTCGCTTGTCGACGCTGGATTCTCCGATGCCTCGGTATGCTTGAAAGCGGCAGTCTTCATCGGAGCTTCGACACGAATACAAGGAAAGAAGATCGTATTCCGCGCTCGAAAATGCGCGGGAGACGCAGAAAACGGGGGCACGCAGGAACTGCTGGCGGTAGGAGGCAACAAGCAACTAGCAAATAAGCCTCAACAACGCACCTCGGACTGTAGCCGCTTCCTCTTTCGTTTTGCCTTTATGGAACTAGAGCATGTGGCGAGAGGCAGTATCGCTCAAGGTCACCACACTTATCTGAAAAAAATCGAGATAGCTTCCTCTAGCAATCCTCTGAGCATTTCTGATACGCTTTCCCTGTTTCTTTTGACTGAAAGGATGCAGCGCCAAGTCGTTTCAGCCATTTCAATGATGACGGTATGATTTCTTAGATTGGCTTAGCAACGTAACATTGACACTTCCTGTGGCAGAAGATTTGACAGTTTCTGTTATTAACTGACCGGGAAGATGGTCGCCTTCAAGATCTATGACAGCTACCGTTCTGTCTTCTTGCGTAATACTCCCAATCAAGTTCTCTCGGAACCTTTCCATCTCGGAACGCTCTCTTTCTTCAGTTCACAATTCTCCTTTCTTCGATAGTACCTGTCTGATACCGGCCTGCTTAGGTTCCCTGTTGTTTCCGAAGGCCCTCATTTGATAAGTTGCTAGTATCCACCTCTAGTTCCTCTAGTATCTGCTTTATCATTCCTATCAATCGGCGTAGGACCCTAAGACCCTTCGCTCCCGCAGCCTGTAGGCAGCTTCATACCATGCTGTTCTAAACGAATGATAAGGACGGTTCTTCCTGCAGGATAAGCAGGGCAGATTTCTATCAGAACAATTGTCAACGGCCCTAGAGTTTATATAGGACACTCTTTGATGTTTGCCACGGCTTTCGTCCTCCGTTAGCTTGCCATGTCCTCCGCAACTCCAGAGAAGACCTCCTTTGACGAGAAGAACGTGGTCGTCGAGGCGGTCGTTTATGAGGCCCAAGATGACAGTGAAGGTAGGTCTTTCCGCGACTTCAGTTGGGGATACAAGATATTGACTGGAACACCATTTACAGTCGCTATCGTATCCGAGTACACCCCAGAGCAATACAAGAAGCTGAAACGAAAGATGGATTGCTATCTCCTTCCGCTCATGTGGCTTTGCTGTGAGCCGCTACAGCTTCGCATGCAGCATTGTCTAACGCTAATGTATTCGTTATCAGATGGTATTCAGCAATCTGACAAGACGGGCCTGAGTGCGTCAAACTCCTCTGAATGTGATTGCAGACCGCGAACCTCCTACAGGCACTATGGCGACGTTCGGTCTGCGTGAGGATACTGGCCTGGTTGGGCAGCAGTACTCATGGTGATTATAGAACACCATTTTCTATGTTACGATCCCAATCATTTACCTTCTCGATTAGGCTGACGACGATATTCTACATCACTTACATGTGTTTCGAATTTCCGTCCAATATTCTCCTTCAACGATGGAGGATGGGTAAGACTCTGTACGTTTCCGTTCTCGTGTCGAGACACCATCAATAACCACCTCTTATACGCAGGTCGATCTATATGGTACAGTCATACTCTATCTCTTGATTTTTCTGACACACTCTGATAGATATGCTGGGGTGTCGTCGTCTTATGCGTTGGTTTTGGTTTGTCCTCTGTTCACTTCTCTCGGCCATCGTAAAGGCTAACCGAGTCCGCAGCAAAGAACTTTAAACAGCTCATTGCCTTACGTGCCCTGCAAGGATTCTTCGAATGTTGTATCAGCCCGGGATTTATCCTTATAATCGGAAGTTGGTACACTAGACGAGAACATTCCTCTCGCGCCCTAGTATTCCAAGTTCGTCTCCACCTCTCTCGTGTCCATTTACTACGCTTACACTAGCGTTCAACAGAGCGCGAATGCAGGCTTCGGTGTCATTTCTGATCTAACCCTCTACGGAATCGGTACGCTTGAGTATAATGGAGATAACATTCAGGCGTGGCGATATATGTCTTACGTACGTCGCATCTTTCTTTCATCCAATGACTGCTCACCTGTTTTCAGTTCCTCGGCTCGCTCACCATCCTCGCCGGTATCCTTTGCCTGTACTTCCTCGGTACCCCATCTGAAGTTCCCTGGCTCACGAAGGAGGAAAAACGGATGGCCAATACCAGGATCCTTGAGAACCAGAGTGGACATGATAGGACAGGTACCCAAGTGTGGAAGTGGGACCAAGCTAAGGAGTGTTTGGTCGATCCATGTGTATGTGCTTCCAGCATCGGTCTTCCCGTGTCATGCTGAGATTGATCTAGTTTTATTTCGCTGGAATCAACGCCTTTCTATCATCGGTAGGCATATGGCTTGATACACGGACTTTTGTTGATGCATGCATAGGTGCCTAATGGAGGCCTGACAACCTTCGGAAGTATCATTAACAAGAGTTTTGGTTTTAGTACGTATATTCGTCCAATATCAACCGGTAGTCATTAATTATATCCTTGTACAGCATCTCTCCAGGTCATTTTATACACGATTCCTCGAAGTATGACTAGTGTTGTCATCTTCGTCATCGTTGGATTGGTTTGCACCGCTCTTTGCTCTACACCGCTGCGAAACCGACATAACGATAGGTTACATCAAAGTGGAAGAACCTCCGTCTGTACATCATGGCTTTTGCGACGATTCCTCCATTCATCGGCTTCCTTGGAATGGCTCTCATCGAGACAAGTTCGTCTACCAAGGTCCTCTTCTTCTTCGTTTTACCCATGCCATCCTAATGCCTCTAATAGTGGACGAAATGGGGGATGTATTACATGACCGTAAGATATCTTCGAACACAAATTTCCAATCGCTTGTCCAATACCTCTGGCAGGTCCCTTTCGTTCTCAGTCTGTTCTTGGGGTGGACGCTCATTCCCTCGAACCTTCCCGGCCGTACTAAACGAACTGTGACTTCCTCGTTTACGTTTGTCGGGTGCGCTGTCTTGTTTTCCTTCTGCGTTCAATGTCCAACGCGTCCCCTACAGTTACTGCGTCGGAAACATGTGCGGGTCACAGATATTCAAGACGAAGGACGCCGTATGCCACCTGCCCTCTTTTCTCTGATTAATTTCATAATTCAATTTTCTAGCCATCTTATACGCCAGGTGTTATCGGATGCAGCATATGCTTCGGGCTAGAGTTCCTCGTCATCATTGGTGCGTGCAGTTCTCATTACCGGGAAAGCCCATACTGATTAAGCGCCTTATCGTAGCCTGGAGGACGACTCTCGTGATGCGGAATAGACGTCGGGACAAGGCTATGCTCACGGATGGGCTAACTGATGAGGAGAGGGAAATGCAAGGTAAGATTAATGGAGAGTCCGATATGACGGACTTTGAGAATCCTCATGTGAGTTCTTCCTTCATCTCCATGCCTAGATGCGATCCTCATTGTATGGATCAGTTCCGGTATACTCTTTGAGGCAGGACGTCGAATTACTTTTATCGATATATAACAAACGTGAAGTTTTCATTTGCGACTCCCTACTGTCTTCCCGTTATCCGAGTTGGTTACTCCAATGTCAATTAAGTAAGCGATGCGTACTCACCGAGACTTGAAGTTGAATGTCACAAACAAGCTGTCGAGTCAATCCACAATCTATATCTTTCTGTAGCATTGGCTCATCAGATACTGGCTGCAAGACAAACACGGCTCATTCCTTCCACCTCACGCGACGCATGGCACGTGCACCAGTCACATGGTCCCGTTGATCAAAAATTTAGTGTTGTGAATGACGAGCAGGCTGTGCCAGCAGCAATGTCATTTATCAGGTGCTTTTTAAATATACAGTTGACTATCTCACAATGCATGATGTCAAAATGCATAATTCTGACAATGCATATGGATTGGGCTGGAACGCAGTTGGGGAGCAGGGAAATGGGCTAGAAATGCATATTGCATAATGCATATGGTTCTAGTTAGGAATATGCATTGTCAGATCGAAAATTATAGTAAGCTGATATGACATTATGCATATATTAGAACAATAAAGAACATAATTTGTTTGTATGGACTATGACAAACACAAAAAAAATTATTGTAAAGTGACACAGCCTATATCTCTATAAACATGCCTCCTGAACCAACATGAAAACCACATGCTAAACCTGGAAATCCATATGAGCATACAAAACAGAAGGAGAAAGTCCCAATGTACACATCATCAGCTCAGCCTCCAAAGCAGATCTCCCACCCACACCTCACAACAGGAGACTGGCTCGTAGTATTCAAACATGTTGATAACCATCCTTCCCATCGACATGCTGACATTGTGGCACATTTCGCAAACCGAAAGGAAGGTGCACTGCTCTTTACCCAATCAACTCTTTCATGGAAACTGGCATCTTGTACAAAAATTGAACAGTGTGCAAATGAGAACCCTAATGCACTATCATCCAAAAAGTCTCGTATTGTCACCTGACCTGATGTGGAGCGTGCTGTTGCATCCTGGTATCAGAATATGCAGCTCTGAGATGAGACTGTAACTGGTGCAATGCTGATAGAGAAGCGAAATCGGATTGAAAATCTGATGAATATTCCAGAGGATCAGTGTTTGAAAGGAGAGGGATGGTTGAGGTCATTCTGCAAGGCATGGAAGATTCAGGAGGTTTGGCGGCATGGAGAAGCAGGCTCAGTGGATATGATGGCAGTGGAAAAAGAACGTGTGCGTCTTCACAGCATTATGGTGAAATATGCGATGCGGGACAGATGGAATATTGATGAATCCGGTCTTGTCATCTTTGCCATCCCAGATCGTACCTTGGCATCTGGTCCTATGAGTGGAC